TTTCTGTATGTAAGAACATGGAATACTTTTTCATTTATCTCAGTCATTTTGTGCTTTAGTAACATAAAATGTTTTCTAATATTCTTCATATAATTTTTTCATCTGCTTCAGCTTATACTTAGGTTATTAATTTTACTTACTCTTCTCTATTATATGAAAGGTCTTTTCTTCCATTATATCTTTTTTTCTTTTTCTTTAGACAAAGAATTGATATACAGCCTAGGCTAGGCTGAAACTTGTGATCCTCTTGCCTCACCCTCCCGAGTGCTGGGATCATAGGTGTATGCTACCACCCCCAGCCTCTATTGTATCTTGTAATTAATTTATTTGTTTGGTTTTTTCCATTGCTTAGTTTAGGTTTTCCAGTTATATAACAATTTTATTTACCTCTTTATTTAAAATTCTTATGACTCTTAATTGCTTTCACCTATTTTATTCCATTGGCTAGTATTGTGAACACGAAATTTTAATTTTTAACCTACTTTTTAGAATTATTATTTTATTCTTTTAAGGGAGTATCTTTTTTTTTTATATATTTGTGGTACTGGAGATTGAATCCAGAGCCTTGTGCATGCTAAGCTATGTCCCTCGCCCAAGGGAGTATCATTTTTAAACACGAATGGATATTATATTTTGACAAATGTCATTGTTGTATTTGCTGATATGACTGTATGATTTTAATATTTTTTCTTTTTGCTTCTACTAACATAATGAAAATGACTGTTTATAATGTCACATCCTTCTGAAATCAGCTGTAGAAACCAATGTTTTAGAAATAATAAAAATACAAAGGGAGAATGGTGCTGCTGGCAAGGAGAGACATCAGTGCCCTTGAGATGTCACGGTCATCCCAGGGGTGGTGGGAGTAGTGGTGAGCATTTATGTACTATGTGCCAAGTTTTGCCATCTAATCCTCCAGTCTTATGAGGTACATATCTCATTTTACAGATGAAGAATTGAGGTCCAGGGATAAGGTAACTTTCACAAGGATAACAGCTAATAAGTAGCAGCACTATACTTGCACACAAGTTGTCCAAGTCTAGCAAGTACTTTCTCCATTATTAAATTTGCCCCTCTGTTTCTGTAACTCTGTCCTTGGTAGCTTCCAATATTTTTCCATTGGGTTTTATTTTTTAAAAACTTTCCTTTTATTTTCCTCCAATAAAACAACAGGTTTAAGGGCTTCAGTCGGAAGAAAGAATAAACAGAATGACAGATTCTCCCTTCTTCACGTTTTTCCCTATTTAGAAATGGGTATACAAGTCTATCTACATTTAATAGTGCCCAGGAAGCTATGTAACAATCACCTTTCCAGAGTGCTTATGGCATGTCAGTTTTAGCACAGAGGGTGAGTTTTTAACCCTGTTTTCTCAGTACATGTGTTTCATGAGATGAACCCATAGATGCTGTGCTCTAGGACTATGTAATCTGGAGCCTTGACCAACAGCAGACTGTCAGCAATCTTTAATAGTACATTAAGATTCAAAATACACTCTCAAAAACCAAAACTACAAATACACATCACTGCATACCCAACCACTTTTCTGAGCCTTTTTTGCCTCTGTAAATTGTGACTTCTCATTTAGAAAAAAGGATTTATTTCTAGCTTCCTGATCAGATTCTTCCCAACATCTTATATCAACATTTCCTACATCTACTTGTTAATGCCTTCTTGAAGCTGATAAATAGCCTAATTAGGCTAGCCATAAGAAAATTAAATGGAAATAAAAGAAAAATGAAAAAAAAAAAAGAAAATTAAATGGATATAACCAAAAAAAATACCAAAGTTAGCCAGAAGTAGTACTGAAATTAAAACATCACTAGCTAGGTTTTGTGTTCTTCTCTTTCCTAACACAATGTACAAATATCAGGTGCAAATGAATCTTCTAAAAACCAAGGAAAGCCTTTTATGTCGAATTATTTGCTTTCAATATGGTTTAAATAAATAAATGTTTACTTTAGGAGCTACATTTAAGTGTAGTTTTTTTTTTTTCTTATTTTGACTTTTTAGTTATGACTTGTATCATCACTAAGCAACATACCCGTTGTTGAACAGGCCAGGGTTTTGTAATTGCAGAAACATCACAAGCTGTCATCAGCATTGCCCTGTTAAGGGAAAAAGAAACCCAAAACTCCTGTTATTTTTATGTGAAGATACACCCTCAGTAAATCATAACTAATAAAAATGTTAGTTTAAATCCTTCTCAACAACAGGAATGACCGTTTAAGAAGACCACAAAACAGAATTTATACAGAAGCCTGACCAACGTGATGATGACAGAGCATCATTGTTTTGGTCACCCTCTGAGAGGGAGTTTGTCCTCAGTCTGACAACTCCAGCTTCAGATTGGCACAAGGAAATGATTAAACCTTTGGGTAAAAACTTGCCTGCTATTAGTATTTCTTTCACCTTGGTTGCCATTCTCAGTGGAAGGATGATGAAGACCCACCGATGACTAATACACAACCATTAAAGGATAACATCAGGTTATCCTTATGAAAGTCTCATGTCAGAAATTAAAGTCACCCTAATTCCCTCACTATCTGTAGTGCATTCTATGTGAAAAGCCTTGCAATGATTGAACAGCATCTGCTGACTCTCCTTTTCTCTAGCAGAGGAAGGGAGAAGTGAGAAGATGGCATTCTCAGTCCTTCCCTGATAATAGAGGTCCTTGGAGTTGTAACAGGATGCTCTGGAGCTGAATATTGTAGGTAGTGCCTAAAAATGGTTCTGTCTTTAGCACAGTGCTTTTCTACCTTAGATCTAAGTGTCTGCCATATAATCCTTTCAATTTGTCTGAATAGGCAAAAGCTGTTGAGTGTTGAGAAACACTTAAGGCAAAGCATCACTTGTCCCTGTGGTGAAACCCATCCTAAAGTATATTTAGGCCCTAACCACATAAGGTCACAAATAAAATGTTGTCCTACTGCTGCTACTATCTCTTATGATGACTCTCTCACAGGAAATAAGTGCATTGGATTGGAGATCTTTTAAATTACTGTATGAACCACTATCATGAAGGATTTCAAGAATACTTGCCAGAACAAATGCCTCTACCAATGATTATGCGAGGCACCTATATAAGCTTAACTACAGTCCAAACAATGAAGGGGACAGGCAGTGATGCTGAGGTGAAACTGCACGCTTCTCTGTGAGAGGTCATAGGCCAGTAGAGTGTGACAGCCAGAACTGGTTCATATTTGGAGTTCACCTTTTGTTACTGAGAAAAACTATTCACTAACTCCCGCAGCATGTCTGTACTTTGGTAAAGCACTGTTCTGAAAAACATGTTGAGGCTATTAAGTGAGGCATGAGTACACAGAACAGACAGCTGTGCATTGTTTCCTTGGAATTTGCATTTTTCTCTGCATGCCAAGTAATCTCAGATTATTAAAGAAATGTTGATTTTAGTGGGGATGGGTGGGGGAAAGGAGAAAGTACTTGGGAGTGAAGAGGATTGAACTATGTTACAAATATGTACACACACACACATATATATATATATATGAAGATAGCACAATGAAACCCATCAAATATTGTTTGAAAAGGGGGGGGGGGGTGG